ATGAAAATAAGAAGGATTTGGCAATAATGGTGATGATGAAAATAATGTATGTATGTTTTCATTATTATTTGGTTGGAATGAATCAGTATCTTCATTGAAAGGATTAAAGCCACTATTATGTTGGGAAGAATCAAGATTAAAACTTGATGCCCTTTTTCACTTTTTTGTAAGATTTACATCTTGAATAATGATTAATCTTTTTTGTTTTCTTGCTGTAATAGTATCTTCCTGATTTTTCCTAGTATCCTCTGAGTTCCACAAACTTTCATCATTTGTATGATTTTCTTGAGTGCGAAAATCAACCTCTGCGCCGTCACAACGAATACAATGGCATGGATACAAATACCTTTTTCTGGGTTTTATTAAATCGGCCATTTTTTGTTTTTTTTATTTTATTGAATTGGTCGTTTTAGATTTTATTAAATCAGATACAGAGGTAGAGATTTCAATTTTAGTTTTTTTGGATTTTATTAAATCAGACATGGAGGCAGAAGTTTCAATTTTACTTTTCCTGGGTTTTACTAAATCAGAAACAGAGGTATAGGTTTCAATTTTACTTTTTTTGTGTTTTACTAAATCAGACACTGAGTTAAAGGTTTCAATTTTACTTTTTTTATTATTCATTTTGTATTTTATGAAATAGCTAAGAAAGTTAAGGTTACAATTACTTAAATAAAGTACGCTTATTAAAAAATTTTCAAAAAAATTATCAATTCAATTTTTCCAAAATCAGGTTCTTCAATCACTTTTTTAGGATCAGGAACAAGTTCGCGTTCAATTCTTCAATTTCGTGTTCAACCTTTCTTTTAGGATCAGATACACTTTCAATTTTTCCTTAATATTAAGATTAGTTTCGCGTTTAATTCCTATTTCAAAATCAGTTTCGCGTTTTTGGTAAGATAAAATAAACGTTTAATTATTCTTTTAGATCAGATTCGCATGCAGTTCTTCAAAATCAAGTTCATATATCTCGCATCACTCATTCGCGTAGTCAAATCTCAACAACTTCAAAATCTATAAATTTGCTCACAAATCTTTTTTCACAAATTCCTCTTCTCAATCAAAGCAATCAAAGTAGGCAATGATGGATAGTGATTAACACTGGTCGGAAAAGTCCATTTTGGCAAAATTTTAAATTGCCGAATGTTGAACGAAATTTGGTCTGACCTTAGCCGATCAGTACCAAAAAAATCGGCAACTAATTTTATAAACGATTTGCACCGTAACGCCTGCTACTTATCAACAAATCGATCAGTAAAAATTGGCAACAAATCGGTAAAATCAAATTGGCGATTATTAATAAACCTAATAATTTATTAACGATTTTTGTACATTTAACTGATTACTGATTTTAATTTTATAATAATTTATTAATTAAATTTTATTAATTCGTTTTATTAAAAATTACATATTAAATTAATATATAGCTATCTATCATCTATATACACCATCCACCATCCACCATCCACCCATCATCCTCACATAACCTGATAAAAATCCGTAGAAAACCTACAAAAAAAAGGAGAAAATGGTTAGTAACCTATTTTTTAAATAAAAAAATTGAAGTTTCAAAAGAAACTTACCCGATCTGATAAAATCCGAAGGGGAAACCTACAAAAAAAAGTAAAGAAACGGTAAGTTCATTTCTTTAATAATAATAAAAACTGAAGTTTCAAAAAATTTGAAACTTACACAATCCAATAAAGTCTGAAGGGGAAATCTACAAAAAAAAAAGAAGAAACAATTAGTTTAATGTTTCTTCGATAAAAAAAATCACAAAGTTTCAAAATATATTCGAAACTTACCCCCTTACCCCAATTCGTTAATGGAAACCTACAAAAAAAAAATAAAGAAAACGGTTAGTCCGTTTCTTTAATAATAATAAAAAATAAAGTTTCAAAACACACATCGAAACTTACACGTCTATTTCTCAATAATAGTATGAAGAATAACCTACAAAAAAAAATAAAGAAAACGGTTAGTCCGTTTCTTTAATAATAATAAAAAATAAAGTTTCAAAACACACATCGAAACTTACACGTCTATTTCTCAATAATAGTATGAAGAATAACCTACAAAAAAAAATAAAGAAACGGTTAGCAACCCGATTCTTTTATAAAAAAAAATCTCAAAAAGTTTCGAAATATTTCGAAACTTACCTGATCCATCAGCCTGAAGTGAAAGCCTACAAAAAGAAGAAAGAAACGATTAGTAAATCGTTTCTTTTAAAGTTTCGAAATTAACCCAACTTCGAAACTTACCAGTCATCTCTTATTTTGATGCATCCTTAATCTTTTCTTTCACCAAGCGCGCTCGTGCTAAACAGCTCAACCGAAATCGTCATAGAGTTTTCACGCTGGATTCTGTGTCCGCTTCTCAATGGGATGATTTTTCCACTCTATTAGACTCCTTTTGTGATGTTTCTCTTGATGATTTTAAGTCTTGGCATCTGAATTGAAAATGTGAATTTCTTCATTCTCAGATTGTTAAGGCTGCGATCAAGATCCTCCCTAATAGTCATGTCTCAAATCAATTCACTCCCAAGGTCCCAAAGGACTTGGATTTGCTTACTCACATTTATCGCTTTGTTACAAAAGTTACTGCCACCATACGGTCTCTTACTCGACGACCTGATGATTTTTCCTTTGTGCACGAATCCAAATGGTCACATTATCTTCCAAGACTTGCCGCTATCCTTGCTCGATACAAGAGTGTTTTTGTGGACGCTCCTCCTTTACCGAATTTTCTAGCTTTTTGCACCTCAGATTCCTTTGCCTCTTTATTTTCTTCTCTTTCTCACATTTCTAAAACGTTGCGTGGTTTGCATGTTTTGAAAGAATGTGAATTTCAAGAAATATCCATTACTGCACATATTGATAGATGTAATGAGAACTTTGAGTCAGATATCTCTTCCTTTATCAACTCATCCCTTTCTAGAACCTGGAGATGTATTGTTTTAGATCGTGTATTTATTGATCACCCTACTTGACTGCATTTGGTCACTGATCCGAAAGACATTATGTCTGAAGCTGTTAACCATTTTCAAAATTATGTTCCTATTAACCTGCCTTTCACCAGTGAACCTTCTTCTTTACCTGAGCATTGGGCTAATGCTTATGCCCTTTGGATTCGGTAGATGCTTCAATCTATGATTCTTTATTGGACCATCAACCAATTCATGCCCTAAACCCTAATATCTATTATACTTTGAGGGCGTCTTGAACCTACAAAAAAAAGAATGAAAACGTTAGTAAACGTTTCGTTAAATAAAATTTTTAAAAAAATCTAACTCTCCTACCGAAGTACCCATGCGTCTAAAAGCCGAATAACTAAAAAAAAAAAAAATTTGAAATTAGTTTATTAAGGCGAAAACGAGGGAAATAAAAAAAATTAAAAACTTACCGAAATACCGTATCCAAAGAGCCGAGGCGTCACCTATAAGGTTGCTTGCCGAAACCTAGGGATTTAGGCAAGATGGCGTTTCGCTGAAAAGCGAAATTCTGCCGAAACTATATTAAAGTTATATTAAAAAACTGGCGAAACTTTGGAGAAAGGCGAAACTGCCGAAACTTATTATAAATGCCGAAACTGCCAAAACTCTGCCGAAACTATAATAAATCTATAGTAAAATTTTGACGAAACTAATCGTAGGATTTTGAAGAGGTTTAGACAAGCAACCTTAGTCACCTAAAAAGAAGGAAGAGGGAATGGACGAAAGAAAGGGGAAAGGGAAAGACGAAAAAGTGAGAGGAAAGGGAGACGAAAGAGTGAGTAGAAAGGGGAAGACGAAAGGGTGATGAAGGAGTGTGTGGAAAAGTAAAGTGAGTGGAAAGGGGGGAGACGAAAGTGTGAGAAAAAAAAGTTTAAATAAGGTTAATATATAGTAGTATCGCGTAATGCACGTGATACATAATTACAAAATATCGACCAAAAAGTTATTGGTCGATTTTTTTTCATTGATTTTACCGATTTTTGCCATTGGTCAAAAAATGTGACGAATCACATGACCAATCGGCAAAAATTATGCCGAAAGCTCTTAACGGTCAAAAGTTTTGATTTCGACCAGTGTAAGAATCTACCTCCTCATCTTCCTTATTATCTTTTACCTATTCATCTTCGTCCTTGTCAGACAATGCTATTCATTTGAATCAAAATATGTACTATCGAACAATTAAAGTAAGTATTTTTTTATTATCTGTCATTGAATTTTCCCAAATATTTACGTTTATTTATTATTTATAGAAAGAAGTCTTTATCTGGATAGATTCTGAATTTAAGGATATATATGAGATCGATAGTGATCGTACGTGGCTTGAACAAAAAGAAAATATAATTACAAAATTACTTCCACCGCTTTATAAGTTAGTCAACAAAAAGTATAATGTTTCGAATAGTGACATCTTAAAGATGTTACATGGACGTTGGCATTCACGCCATCGTTTAAGCAATATAAAGAAGCAAGGAGATGACAAATTGAAAATGGATAGGAGTAGATTAAAGAAGAATTCAAGAACTATGGACGTTAGTAACCATTTTATTAATATGAAGTGGGAATTTAGTTAATTTTATTTAATTTTATAATTATTTATTATTATAGAAAAAAAAAAAGAGCTCAAGCGGCAAACTATTTAATAGAAAATAATGATAAATACATTCGTAGATACCCGAAGAAGAAGCTTGTACGAATTTTTAAGGAATCTGGTTATCATTCAGAGGAGTGGGAGGAAACCGATTCTGATGAAGAAAATGATATAATTGGTAAAGAATCTGCTGTTAAAGAAAAGACAATATCAATTCATATATATAAAACATGGTGGCGTTCTTCTGCAGTATGTACTATATATTTATAATTATTTTTTTTATTTTATTTATTTTATTTATTAATAGTAATTATTTATTAAAGCTTCAGCATTTATTACATGATTGGATTGATCCGACCGTTGAAAAACTGAGGAAAAAACCTCGAATTCTAAAAATTAAAAGAGTTCAAAGATGTAAAACAACAACAAGTATGCCTCCAGTGGATACACCAAATTGGTGTCTGACTGATGAGGTTCTTAAAAGATTTAATCGTTCAACAAATGAAATTCCAACATATGATTATAATACTGATCAAGATGAAGAAATTGACGAATATCATAACGATGAATATGAAAATAAAAAAATAAAAAATAAAAAAAACAAAAAAAGCAAAAAAAGGGGGTAAAAAAACATAAAAATAATTAAATATTATGATTAAATACTTTTATTAGGTTATTCTTATCAATTGGCATTTATACAAATTGATTAAAATAAAGTTGTATGTAAGATTAATTTGAACATTCAATCCAATTAATTTTAAAATAAAATATGTATATTTTTAATATTTTCGTCAGTTATTCGTGATATCAGAAAAAATAAAAAAAAATTGAAAATAAGGGGTTTTATATGAATAAATGATTATCTTTAATATTAAAATACTTTTTTTAGTAATAATTTTAATATACCTCTTTGAATTATATAATACAAATACAATAAATAAATATTTTGCATATTGGTACCCGATATGTGTAAGATTGATTCAGTGTTACATATCAGTGACTAATCGTTTAGATATCGGGAATCCAATTTTTAGGCATATTTGATATGTTACATATCGGGTACCCAATATGTAATAAATGTCTGATATGTATCTGATTAGTTACTGATATATAGGTACCCAATATGTATCCGATAGCATCAATTTTGACCAGTGTTAGTAAAAGAATTATCATATTTAGGTTGGAACATTAACGTATGCCAAGTAAGAGCCCAATCGACCAGATACGGAGATGGGTCCGTTAATAAGGAAATAAAACTAAAATGAGAAAGATCTAAAAGGTCTTTCATATATATCATTTGATAATATTGCTTAAGCAAATGTCTTGGATTAAATTCACAGACCACGTCATCATAGACCAAAATATAATTATGAACTGCGGCTAGATCAAGGCGAGAAATAAGAACAACGTCCTCAGATGTGTGTGCTGTATTTAAGGTTGCTTGTCTAAACCTCTTCAAAATCCTATGATTAGTTTCGTCAAAATTTTACTATAGATTTATTATAGTTTTGGCAGAGTTTCGGCAGTTTCGGCATTTATAATAAGTTTTGGCAGTTTACCTTTCTCCAAAGTTTCACCAGTTTTTAATATAACTTTAATATAGTTTCGGCAGAATTTCGCTTTTCGGCGAAACACCATCTTGCCTAAACTCCTAGGTTTCGGCAAGCAACCTTAGCTGTATTAGCTAAAGAGTCAGCAAAGTCATTCCAATAAAAATTAGAGCGCGCTTTAACTTTGAAGGGTAGAACTGAAAGGTTTTTGTCTACAATCAATTTTTGAATAATAGCCCAAAGTTCAAAGTTGGTGGTCTTATAATAAAGACGGAATCTAAATAATCAGATAGGAAATAATGTTTCAAACCCTCAATGGAAGTCTGTGAATCAGTATAAATATAAATAACAGAATTTGCAGGAGAAGCTGACAAAGCTGCATAAATAGCAGCAGCTTCGGCTCGAGAAGAAGAAGACCAATCGTGAATAATACCCTGTTTATAAGTGGCAATGGAATTAAGGAAGCCAGAATCTTTAACAATTTGAACCCAGCCCCAACCCATAGAGACATCATTAGTTCCTAAATTAATAAGAGAACCATCAGTGTAAAGGTATAATGTGAATCTGAAGAGAGCACAACCGATGATGATGCAGCAACATTGCCAGCCGTGAGTAAAGGTGAAGCAGGTGAAGCCATGTCAACAGTGCCAATGGAAGTACAAGAAATATCAGCAGCTAACGTTGAGCAAGTGGAGAGATTACAATTTGAAGTAACATAATCCATAATTTCAGCCCATGACACTGTAGCAGACAAACAGGATGTGTGATTTGTAATGGATAATTTCTTCATAGGTAAAATCTATGACTGACGAAGAGTGACCGAATAGGAGTAAGCCACAGAACTAGTAGCAACTGATTTCTTTGAGTAGGAAGATTTATTTATATTCAAATTACAGCCAGGATAAGGTTGTGGGGGGTTTCGCACAAAGGTATCATAATCTATATTATTGTTCATCATTATTGCACTATGATAAAAATTACGGGAAGAAAAGAAGGGTTAACAAATTAATCAGACGAAATCTTATTGACTTGGTCTGAGGAAGAGCCACCAGAAATGGAGCTAATAAATCTTTCAATAGAGCTGGATAAGTGATTGAATTTATTATCTAAAGATCGTTGAAAGAAATAAATTTCAGCGCGTTCTTTATTGATAGTATCTTTATCAGCAGTTACGGAGATGGAAGAAAAGGAAGTGATAGAGCGGGGAGCTGGGATCGTTGGAGGAGGAAGGACCAAACCAGAAAAGGACATGTTCAAGGTAGGCGGGTTGGATTGTGTTATATAAGGGGGTGCTTTGGTGATTGTCAACTAGCATGTGTGGAGAATCATTTGGATCAGGCGTGAGAACATTGTCTTGCTTATGTCCAAAAACACAGAGTTCCAGCTGAGATATTCTTTGGTTAGCCAATTCGAGAACATGTATTCTAGCACGTACACTAGCCATATCTTCTTGAAAGCTTTTGAGCACTGAAAGAATCTCTTGAATTTGGAAGCAATTGGGATCGACCAAAGGAGGATTATGGCCAGATGAGTTAGGTGCGGAGGAGATATTATTGCGCTGGGAGATAGAGAATGAAACTGAACGGTCTTTGCCTTTACGCTTATTGGATCAAGGCCGTACGCGTTGAGCAGATTGTTTGGGATTAGTGGGATTAGTAGAATTGGATAAGGAAGTATTATTAATATTGCTATTGTTCTGCCCAGCATTATTAGTCGAGTTATTATGCTGTCGAGAATTGGAATGATCCTTGAATTGAGAATGGAAGCGTTGTCTACTGCGATTAGCAGTATTATCATTAGATTGGCCAATATGGAAGCGTTCTTTTAAGTGTGCAACAGGGTTGCGAGTATGTGAATGACCTCTGGAGCTATTCAATGGGCATGCAGTGGGCGCAGCCGAGTTTGCCACATCTATGGTAAAGCTTATTGGTATTTTCTGGAAGTTCCCATTGGAATCTGTGACCTTGTAAAGTAACAGTTTGTTCCATCGCGATGTCCATCATTTGTTGTGATGTAAAAGTGATGTAGGCCCATCTTTTAGGTTTATATGAATTGAGGGACAGGGGGATATTAACGGCTATAGCGCCAATTTCTCGTACCAAGGGTGCTAAATGCACATCTTTGGTGTTGGAAGGGAGCTGAGACAAAACAGCGACAAATTTACGTCATGATTTCTTTTGATCAAGAGTAAGAAATATGGCGTAATGTGTAAACAAGTGGAATAATAATAAATTGCCCACTGCTTGTCAAAGAAATGCCAGATGGAAGAAGCATCATCGTAAATGATGCGGGCTTGTTAGACTTTAGCATTAGCACGTGTATGAAGACAACAGGATTGTATGTTACCATACTTTTTGAAAAGAGCAGTAACATCGTCTTTTTTGATGAAGAACGGGATATCAGTAACTTGGATAGCACAGAGATCTTCATCAGTTCAGAGTTGCTGCAGGTCGTGTATAGGGATGGTTAGGTCGGTCCTGGTCCGGTCCTGGTCCTGGGACCTATAAGTCCTATTGAACGGACCTGCGGACCAGGTCCTATTAGGACCAGTCCTGGACCTGGTCCCAG